CCCTCGTTCAGTTACTGGGGGACCAGGTCCTGGCTGGTGAGGTCTCTGCCCTGCTGGCTGTGGTATGGCTCTTGGCTCCCTGTCCCTTAAGGAGCAGCTGGCCTTCACTGCTCCTTTGCATTTGGAGCACAAACCCAGCACACAGGAGTTGCTTATAGAAGCATCAGACCTGATAGCATAAAGCAAGCATGTGAGCAGTTGAATCTGTAAAGGAAGAGCATGTGAAATCAAGAAGCAGAAATCAAGAATTATATGCTTTTGGAAAACAAGGAGAAACTGATGAGTAAAGGTGGGTGGGAAATGACAGATGTTAGGACATGATACCTTCTGAGAAGGGAAAGGACATAGAATGAAAGAAAGAATAATGAGCAAATGAAGAGGGAGTAAAGGTGAATTTAATGCAACAAAAGCTAGTAAAAATTATAGAAGAGAACAAATATTAGAAAGTGACCCTGTTCAACAGTACAAATCTTAGCTCAGAATCCTGTGGGACTTTACTGTAAAAAACCTTTTATTCCCTACTGTATTTTTAATGAGGATTTCCCATAATCTTCTGTGACAACCAGATCTCTTTAAGAAACTTTGAAGGGAAATGGGCAAAGGCTTTCTAGAAATTCAGGTCTACTCTCTAGACGAGTCTCAAGTCTGGACTGCAGTATGAGGGGAAATATCCATGTAAACACTGTCTGCTTCATCCAGCAAGGTTTTAATCTGTGTGAATCAAAGTAAAATCAATAAGAAAATTAAAGCATGTACCTTAACAAATAGAATAACCAAAAAAGAAGAGTATATGATGTCCGTAATAGCTGTTATTCAAGCTGCTTAGTCAGTCCTTAGGATATGTCACTAATGTGTTAATGCAGTCCTGGATATTCCACTAATAACAGGTAATATAAGAATCTTCATAAAACATAACAGAATCAGCTAACAAAAAATAAAAGATGCTGTTGGAGAAAAGAAGCAGTGGAAGACCAGAGTAACCACATCTTCTTACTGTAAGGCATTTACACTGAATGACAGGGGCTTTTCCAGTCACACTTCTTTTCTCTGAAGCTTCTGGTGCAGGTTATTATTACAAGACAAGACTCTGAATCGGGAATACACAAGATCCAATGCAGTAAGACAGGTTTCTGCCTATGAAACAAATGTAGCGAAGGAAAGCAAGTGAGATGGCTTCTATTTTATTTGTTTACTGAAACAAAAGATCAAACAAAAGTGCTCCTACACTTTAGTTATCTAGCAGTGCAAAAGAGAAAAGGAGCGCGTGGCCTATCTGTGGTGTCCGACATCCATTCGTTACACAGCTGCATGGGGCAACCTGGCCGCGTGCCCCACATGCTGCCAGGCGGATAAAAGGGCCTGGGTCCAGGGGAGCTGTCCCACTTGCTGTGGCAGAAAGAGTGAGTAGATTGCTACTCTTGGGACACTACCTCTGATGGGTTTTGAGTAGTACTAACAGCAGCCTCTGAGGCTAAGGAAATAGGGAAAATGACAATCCAAAACGGGAAAGAGGTTAAGAGCCCGACCGGCTGCCGCTTAAGCACTCGCCGTGCTTTGCCTCCCTGAGAGAAAGGAACTTCCCTCGTATTTTTGCCTCGTTCAACTCCGGTATTTGTGCAGAAACGCTGCGTTTTGTGTCCCGCGCTGGGAGCGACAGCGGTGGCCGGTGCAGCGAACACGCCGA